TGCTGCTGCTGCTGGCGGTGGTGCTACTGCTGAAAAGCGCCCAGCAGCAGCAGCAGCAGCAGCAGCAGCAACGGGTGCTGCACCAGCCAGAGCAGCAGCACCAGAGCTGAGAGTACGCCCCAGCAACAGAAAAACTATCAGCAGCAGAAACAGCAGCAAACAAAACAGCGGCAGCAGCAGCAACAAGAGCAACAGCAGCAACAGAAGCGGGAGCAGCAGCAACAATAACAACAGCAGAAGCAGCAGCAACAGCAGCAGCAGCAGCAGCTGCACCAGATTTAAAGACTTGGGTTGCTAAGACGAGAGACAAATTTAATCTCCGCCAGATGGAGGCCTCAAATGAATGCGAAACTGCAGCAGCAGCAGCAGCAACAGCAGCAGCAGCAGCAGCAGCAGCAACAGCAGCAGCAGCAGCAGCATTGTTGTTGGTGGGTTAGGAAGCAAATGATGAAAGACAAACGAAAGGAGATATGCGAAAGACACAACAAAAGAGAAGGAGACAGAAAAAAAATAAAGAGAAGAAAAGGAGACACAAAAGGAGACACTTGCGCAAACGCCATAATGCAAACCCTAAACCCTAAACCCTAAACCCTAAACCCTAAACCCTTAAGCCTCCACCATAGATTCTAAAGCGTAAACCGTAGACCCTAAACCCTAAACCCTAAACCATACTGAACCGTAAACCCTAAAACCTCAACCTTAAACCCTACGCCACACGAAAACCCTAGATTCAAAGCTCTAAACCCTAAACCCTAAACCCTAAACCCTAAACCCTAGACCCTTTTCTCACAGGATACATCTGAAAGATGTGTGTTTCGCGTTTTTTCTTCTTGAGATATTTGATGCCCCGGCGAAGGATAAAGCTGCAGCTGCATTTCTTCTAAGCTGTAGTCTTCGTCTTCCTCCTCGCTGCTGCTGCTGCTGCTGCTGCTGCTCCTGCTGCTGCTGCTGCTGTTGCTGTAGCTTTGGTTGTGTCTCTTAAGAACAGCAAGGAGGCGACGTTGATAGAATGAATTTAAAAAGAAAAGAGACACAGGGACTTCTATGGAGACAGACATCCGCAGCTGCTGCTGCTGCTGCTGCTGCTGCTCTCGCTGCTGCCGAAGCGCAGCAGCAACGCGCTCTTGCAGGCTCTCGCTCGAATCCTGAGCAGCAGCAGCAACAACAGAAACAGCAGCAGCAGCAGAGGCAAGAAGAGTAGCAGCAGCAGCAGCAGCATAAACCATATGAGCTATATATACACGGGGGGCAGCAGGAGTGTAGCAAGTGCTTCTGCAGCAGCAGAAAAGCAGCAGCAACAGCAGGAATAGCAGAAAATGAGCAGCAGCAGCAGCAGCAACTGCAGCAGCAGCAGCAGCAGCACTAACGGGTACAGCGAGTTGAAGGGTTTTTGCTTCTTCATCTCTTAGCAGCCGCTCCGCTACTTCGACGCCCTCCATACCCTGTGAATCTGTTATGTGCACAACCGCAAACCCTAAACCCTAAACCCTAAACCCTAATTGAGTCCTACCCATAACCCCATGGTCTAAACCCCTGTCCCTAAACAGATTCAAAAATCAGGTGAAGGCCTAGGGTTTATGAACTAGGGTTTAGGGTTTAGGGTTTAGGGTTTAGGGTTTACCATATATCTCTCTCAGCCGCCGATGCTTCAAAACAGAGTATGCGCGGTTTAGTCTCACAAATGCTGTAGGCAGGGTACTGGGGGCCCCCCCAGGGGGCCCCCCAGGGGGCCCCTGGGGCTGGGGGGCCCCCTCTGCTGCTTTGTCTGGATGAAATAGGCGAGCGAGTTTGCGGTAGCTTGCTGCTATGTCTGCTTCAGTTGCCTGCAGCAGCAGCAGCAGCAGCAGCAACAGCAGCAGAGGCAGCAGAAGCAGAAAATAAATAAAGGAGGTGGTGTTGCTACTGCGGAGGCTGGTGCTGATGCTCCTGTCAATGGTTTTGCTGCTGCCGCTACTATTGTTGCTGCTGCTGCCAGTACTATTGCTGCTGCTGCTGCTGCTGCTGCTGCTGCTGCTGTTATGCTGCAGTGCCTCAGCGATTTACAGCAGGAAGTGCAGCAGGATCCACAGACAGCGGCAAAAATTGCTGCTGCTGCTGCTGCCGGTGCAGCAACAGGAGCAGCAGCAGCAGTCGCAGCAGCAGCAACAGAAGCAGCACCAGCAGCAGGATATACCGAGCGTGTAAGATGCAGCAGGTCGTAGAGGTCTGCCTCCTCTTCGTTCGAATTGCTATCCATCTTAGCAGCAGCTGCTGCTGCAGCAGCAGCAACAGCAGCAGCAGGAAATCTCTCTGGATTGCTGCTGAAATAACACCTTCGCTGCACCTAGTGTAGGCACTGCAGCAGCAGCAGCAGCAGGAGAAGAAGAACGAGTAGAAGGGCCTTCAAGGGGGCCCCTACTCCCTGTTAGAGAGCCCCGGGGATTCGAAATAGTAATAATGCTGCTGCTGCTGCTGCTGCTGCTGCTGCTGCTGCAGAGCTGCTGCAGCAGCTCTGCAGCCGAAAGCGTGTGGGGTTGCAGACGCAGGGTAGATTGAACGCAGCAGCAAACAGCCACAGCAGAAGCAGCAGCAGCAAGCGCAGGAAAGGTAGGAGGAGCAGCAGCTGCTGCTCTGTTGCTGCTTGGGGAGGAGACGGCTCAGCGCAGCAGCAGAAGGCTGGGTAGTCGGCGCCCCTTTGCACTCCAGGGTTTAGGGTTTAGGGTTTAGGGTTTAGATTTTAATGTTGAGGGTTTATAAATGCACACCTAACCAAACACCCTAAGGAGGCAGTCTGGGGGCCCCGGGGCCCCAGGGGGCCCAGGCGGGCTTGGAGGCCCCCTTAGAGCCTGAAGCCCAAACCCTAAACCCTAAACCCTAAACCCTAAACCCTAAACCCTGAATTTTCTTATCACTCTGCACTGATATACTTTTTATTTCTACATATTTCTTAGCTGATCCTCTTCAGCAGCCATCGGTCGCAAGCAGTTGGGGGCCCCTGGGGGCCCCTCTAAGAGGGTGAAGATGAGGCGAAAGGGGGGCCCCCTACTTTTTGAGGGGCCCCCAGCCTTTTTCTTATTTGTTTTAGCATTGGGTCTTAATGGGTTGCTGCTGCAGTGCAGCCTGGGGGCCCCCCTGGGGGCCCCCCTTGGGGCCCCTATGCTGGGTACTGGATCGGTAGGGTATTACGCGCTGCAGCAGCAATACTCTCCTCTATCAGACGCCTCTCTAGGGGCACCTACAGCAGATATTAGAGGGTTCAGGGGCCCCCCTTTGTTGTTTATGTTGAAATCTCAACGTCTGTCTTCGCATTCACGCGGAGATACTGGAGGGGTGATGGGGGCCCCCCTAAGGGGGCCCCCCATCAGGGGGCCCCCCAGTACCCTGCTCTGGGGGCCCCCCATCAGGGGGCCCCCCAGTACCCTTTCCTTGGGTCCCCCGGGAAGGGTATTCTTGGGGGCCCCTCATGGGGCCCCCAGGACTTCCTTGGGGGCCCCCAAGAGGGCGCTTTGGGCACTGAGCAGCAGCAGCAGCAGCAGCACCAGCAGCAGCAGCAGCAACGAGGGGGCCTCCCCATGGGGGGCCCTCCATCAATTAGGGTTTGCTTTAAAGATGAATAAAAAGTACAAGGAGAAGACATCAAGCACGAAGACAGGGGCCCTTTCATATCTTAAGAGGCCCTATTACGTCCTCGGAGAAGACGGGAACTTCAAAATTGAATCCAGGCAAGGGTTTAGGGTTTAGGGTTTAGGGTTTATGGCTGAGGGTTTAGGGTCTAGGACTCACGGACTGCACAGAGTCGTGTTGGTGTTGCTTCTCCTTCATCCACGCAGTGCAGCCGGTACTCCGGCAGCAGCAGTAGCAGCAGCAGCAGCAGCTGCTGCTGCTGCTACTGCAGCATCTACGTCTGCTACTGTTGCTGCGCTTGCTGCTGTTGCTGCTACTATTGTTGCTGCTGCTTGTGCTGCTGCTGCTGCTGCTGCAGGGACCCTCCTGCTGAGGCGATTTTTGAGGGTTGGGCAGATTTGATAGAAGAAGAGGAGCGGTTGTGGGGCCCCTCAGCAGCAGCAGCAGCAGAAGAAGTAGTGCGAGGAGAGAGGCAGTTGTCTATTAAAGACAAAATAAATGAAAGGCTTTTAAAGGGGAGAAAAGCAGCAATTGCAGATTATGCATTCAAACAGCCTCTCAGCAAACCCAAGCTCTTGATCGTTCGCCCCAAACAAGGCACGCAAACCCTAAACCCTAAACCCTAAACCCTAAACCCTAAACCCTAGTTGAGAGCAGAAGAAGTATATTCGCCTGAGCGTTGTTTGACTTTGTTGTTGTTTGTATTTCTGTCTTTCATTCTTTGTTTATTGAGGAAATTGTCTGTTTATTGTTAGCACAACCTGCATTAATTGTGTTTCTATTTTGAGGTGTATGTACACGTAGGGGCATACTGCGACTTAATGAAGGAAGATGAAGGCCGTCTGTCTTCACTAGTAAAAAAGCTGAGGTTTAAGTATGATTCTTCTCTCCTTGAAATAACAGACGTAAAGATGAAAGCAGATGCACCTCTTTGTGAAGTTTTTCTTGCTGGACCCTTTCCTGGGGTTTGCCGCATCTTTTATGCTCGAGGCGCTACGCTGCAGGTACAGCTGAAGATATATACATTATTTGAATTACCTCCTTTGCCTCTTTACAAAACCTCAGATGTTTTAAATCACAGAAAACCCAGACATTACGTGTCTGCATCCATGAGGTGTATATACACCTCTCATATATATATATATATATATGGTATATTTTTTTTTCATGTTGCCTCATGCACTTGAAGTGCATTTATAGAAAATGATAAAATGCACAGAGACGCAGGATCTTCAGGTGTACAGACGTTTCAGCTTTCAAAGGCAGCTAGGGTGCTTGTTGCATTATCTGCTGCAGCTGTTGCTGCAGCTGCTGCTGCTGTTTCTGCTGCATGTACAGCAGAAGCATGGAATTTGTTGTGGTGTGGTTGGTGTTCTCTGTCTTGTCTGTTTTTCTCAGTACCGCGTGCGCCCTCGCTTTCGCACAGTTTGTGAATTGCTAGAAAAAGATGAAAGACTGCAACAAAAATATGGAGGCGCCGGCTGCCCAGGGCTCTTCCCTACTTGGGATGAGGGGGGTATTTTAGAAGAAGTCGATGAATGCCTCAATCAACCGCCGCCAGACATGGAGGTAAGAAAATCCATCATCTAGGCACAGAAAACTAGGGTTTTCACCTTAGGGTTTAGGGTTTAGGGTTTAGGGTTTAGGGTTTAGGGCATAGAGTTTAGGGAAAAGAGGTTCCTACAGGGAGAATCACGCGCGGAGGAGCAGCATTGTGATGGTTTGTAGCTTGCAAACAAAGTGCATGCTTACCTCTATGCGTGCCTGCATGCTCACCTGCCTGCATGCATGCATGCATGCATGCATGCATGCATGCATGTGCATTCGCCTTATCTGTGTGGTTTGCTTTGCTTCAGTCGTACCCTGTGAATCTTGAGTGGGACAACGTGGCGAGTTTATCGCCTGAAAATCAGGAAGAGCGGCCTTGGTGGTATAACAACGTTCACTACCCAACGCGGCGAGCAGTGCAGCGTGCATTCGAAGAGGGCGTTGCAGACTTCCGCACTGTTATTGAAGCGGAGTATAAACTAATGAAAGAACACGACAGAAAAGAGGGAGAACGCCTTGCACATTTAAAGGCAGAACGAGAAAAAGAAAGAAAGGCCCTTTGAAAAAAATTCAACTGCTGATATTTCAGTGCCTTCGCCACACGAAGAAAACTTGAACAGGTGCCTTGCCGCGGAAAACAAAACAACTGCATGATGCAATTCATTTTTTTCTTGTTTTTTATCCATTAACAAATAATAAATTCAGGATGATCTGCACAGATCCCAACAAATTTACTCTCAATTTCCCTCTGGAGCTGCATGTACACCTGAACTGTTGAAGCGGTTTGTTTAGTATACGAAACGCACAACTCTGCACAAATTCGAGGCATCATTCAGAGGGTTAAATTTTTGAATTTAGATGGATTCTATCAACGTTTTCTAAAATGATTCATTTCAAAGAGAATGAGGCACTTGAAAGCATCAGCTTTCTCCCCTTTTCCCCTCTACTCGCGTTCTTGTTTCGGCGTGTTTCTGTTACTGCTCTCCTTCTGTATACCGGCGGGAAGCGTGAGAACACAGGAAAATGCAACTTTTCTACCTGGACTCATGAAGCCTACACCACCTCGAATTGGTAATTGCATTAAATCTGTTGTTTATTTCGTTCTCTTCCCCCCCCTTCCCCCCTAATGACCTCGCGGGTTATAGAAGTAAAACTGATGCCAAATAAGAAGTTCCGATTGACACGAAAGGAAATGCAATCAATTCTTTCAAACCTACGTCAAGAAATTCATGAACAGGCAAACATCATTTAAAAGAAAGGTGCAAACGCGCAAACCTCCTAATTCATGCTTTCAGGTTTCTAAGGTGCAGCAGCAATTTGAATTCAAAGGTGAATCTGCCTCGGGCCCCCTAATCCCCGGCCCTTCACTTCCTGAGGGAGTTTCTATGGCGAGCGCCTCTGTAAGCAGCAGACGCATCCACTTCTACCCTCTAGAATATATTAATGTCTTCTTCTTGCAAACAGACCCAGGGATTCAGACAGCTGGAACCTCCGCATGCAACAACACCGCAGCAGCAGCAGCAGCAGCCCTACACTCTACGCGCAATGGTAGGGGATCTTTTTAGTTTAAGCCTGATTATAAAACCCTGAGGCGTTTTGCTGTACTTTTCGTTTACTGCTGACAGCAAATTGAAGAGAAAGAGGGAGCGGAGAGAAGCGAACAAAGCCGTGCTGTTGAAGCAGAGACATTAAAAGATATAATTGAATCCTTTTCAGTAGTGAGTGCATGCAAACACAACATAAAAACAAACAAAATAAACTAAATAAATAATTTAATCAATCAAAACCACAGATCTCCCGGGTGTCTAGAAGGGCAGAGGAAAGGGAGAAGCAGACGCTTCCTAATGGTGATCATTTTTTTTCTTTTATCTTTCATATTTCTTTTCTTCTCATTATTAATTTTTATTAAAAGGCCCTTTGTAACGACCATACGTACACCTGAATGCAATTCAGGTGTACGTACACATCACGCCACTCACAACGGCTTTGAAGCAACTTCAAACTCTCTCACACACCAGCAGAACAATAACTCAGCCTGCTGGAGAGGGCCCCTGTAGAGTACTTGAGGGCCCCCTAAACACCCCTTTAGGGGCCCCCTAAACACCCCTTGAGGGGCCCCTAAAGGGCACTTGAAGACCCCCTAAAGGGCCCTTGAGGAGCCCCTCAAGGGTCGTTTAGGGGCCCCTAAGGGGCCCTTGAGGGGCCCCTAAGAGGCCCCTTGGGGGCCCTTAAAGGGCATTTGGCTTTCTCGTGTTTCTGTGGTTTTCTCTTCGCTCTATTGTAAATTCAGTTTGTGAGGGCCCCCGCTAACAGCTGAGATAAAACAACTGAAGGGGCCCCTCTGGTGTATGTTTGTTTGTAATTGAATATGTCTTGTTTCTGCTGTGGGTTGAGGGGTTTTTCTTTGCTTTATTAAGCACAGACAAGCCATCGTCATAGCCTAATAAACCCTTCGAGGTGCTAGGGTTTAGGGTTCTAGGGTTTAGGGTTTATTACTCCAGGTTAGGGTTTGCGTCTCTCGTTGCAGCAGCACGGCCTGCTGCGCAGCAGACAATCGCTAGTTAGCCGTGGCTAGCTAGGACTTACTATCTAGCTAGCTAGCTAGCCAGCTAGCTATATAGCTAGCTAGCCAGCCAGTTTACGCCATAATTAGAATTAGTTTTTAGGAGCAGAGACTGCACTGTAGCAGCAGCGGCGGTGTTGTTGTTTTCGTTGCTGGTGCTGCTACTATTGCTGTCGCTGCTGCTACTCTTGCTGCTGCTGGTGCTACTACCGCTACTGCTAATCCTGCTGCTGCTGCTGCTGCTGCTGCTGTGGTTTGAGTGGCAAGAGGTGCAGCAGCAACTTCCCTCTGTCTGGTTTCTAAAGAAGAACTGCTTTGAGTCGTTTGGGGCTTTAATTGAATATTTGTGCATGCATAAGCAGAATTAAACGAGAAGAAGATACAAAACAATACCCGAGAAATATTTATAGCATTTAAAGGGGCTCTTGAGGTGTCTGTGCTTTGTGTGGAGAGAAAACGAACAGAAAATATACTACTTGTAGCATTTTAAATGAAATTCAATGAAATATAAACAAAGAAATAAAAAACAGTCCTCTTCATCGAACACACTTGTGCAGCAACCGCCGCTGCTGCTGCTGCTGCAGCTGCTGCTGCTGCTGCTGCTGAAGTCTTCGTTGCTTCTCCCTCAAGCGACCCCCCATTTACATAAAACTTTAAGCCCTTTTTTGTTTAATTATAAATTTTAATTAAGACAAATGAAGACTAAACGCCAGCTTCAAAGAAGAAGAAACTCTGACGGGGCGGCCCCCAAGTAGACCGATGGGTTTGAGACATTCAACTCGGTGTGCACGCCTCAAACCCTAAAACGTAAACCCTAAACCCTAGACCCTAAACTATAAACCCTAAACCCTAAACCCTAACTCCACTGGGGTCAATTTTCTCAACCGTTTGAAAGATCAAAGGGGCCCCCGGGGGGCCCCCGCCCCCAAGTGGTTATGCAATGTCTCTTCAGCCTTTTCAGTGTTTGCATCTGTTATTAGAGGCTCTTCTTTGTCTCTAAACTCTAAACCCTAAACCCTAAACCCCAGCGTTGGTGCTTCTTTTTGTAGGGCTGGAGCGACGCCTCTTTCTCCCCTGCGATCCCCTGGAAGCTGACTTCTAATGAAGCTTTTTAGGGTTTAGGGTTTAGGGTTTAGGGTTTGGCTTCTCAGCCCACTGAGTATAAACCTCAGATGGAAGCACAGCAGCTATCTTCTCCTCTGCATGCTTCTTCTTCTTTCAGTGAATGATATGTTGCATTTCTTCATTTTTACCCTCTCAAACCCTAAACCCTAAACCCTAGCCGCAGCGATCTCATGCCTATAGGAGACCAACAAGGCAGCTGCAGAGGGGCCCCTCCCGCTGCGCCTTCCTTCTTGGGGGCCCCTTCGGGGGCCCCCCTGGGGGCCCCTATGGGGGCCCCTCTGGGTGGCCCTGTGGGGGCCCCTGGGGGGGCCCCCCTAGGGGGCCCTGTGGGGGCCCCTGAGGGGGGCCATCTGGAGGCCCCCGTGGGGGGCCCCGTTGGGGGCCCTGTGGGGGCCCCTGTGGGGGGCCCTGTGGGGGCCCCCGAGGGGGGCCCCTGGACAGCAGCAACTCAGCCTTCTGTGTTTGTTTTCTTGGAGAGTATGTGCGGTTTGAGTAAAGAGAGTCAGGAGAAAGTGCTGCAAACCCTAAACCCCCGATCTGTTGATGATTTTATTTGCTGCTGGCTAGAAGCCTGCTCTCAAGTTGCATATACACCCCACAATAGGAGGGATCGCGTGTCTCGCTGTCTTCAAGACTTACAGTCTTTCTTAGAGAAAAGCAGCGGCAAAATAAACCAGCAGCAGCAGCAACAGCAGCAGCAGCAGGAAGAGCAGCAGCAGCAGCAGCAGCAGCAGCAAACCTGCAAACGAGATGCAGAAGAAGAAGTGAAAGCCCGAGGCATTCCATCATCTCAGGCCACCACAGCCAGCTGCGACAGCAGCAGCAGCGACATCAGCAGCAGCAGCAGCATCAGCAGCAGCAGCAGCAGTGGACAGGAGCTGCGGCTTTGTTCAGGTGAAGGATGCAGCCCTCCAAGTACTCAAGAGTTATTATCGCTTCCTGACGAGTTAGGAGCCCCCTCAGGGGGCCCCCCAGGGGGCCCCCCTGGGGGCCCCCTAGGGGGGCCCCCAGGAGAAACCCTAAACCCTAAACCATCACTTTCTTTTTTGTGTAGACAGGGTTTGTTCAGGCTGTATGATGCGGAGGCTATTGCAAAGATGCCTCCTTTTAGTTTATTAGACTTGGAGACAGAAGAACGAGAGAAGTTTGTACAAAGTATTGCTGCTTTTTCATTCAAGTATCTAACTGACTTGCAACTCCTTTTGCTTAGGGTAAGGGTTTAGGGTTTAGGGTTCAGGGTTTAGGGTTTAGGGTTTAGGGTTTAGGGTTTAGGGTTTAGAGTTCTGTGTTGAGGGAGTTTCGCTGCTCAATGTGCGATGCATCGGCGAAAGTCAAGAAGAAGGCGACTGGCTTACCCGAGAGTAGGGTTTAGGGTTTAGGGTTTGGGGTTTAGGGTTTAGGGTTTAGGGTTTGTGAGTGCAGGAGAACATGAGGGAGATCGCCGACATCCTGGTGACTCGCGGCTGCCTTTCTGTTCAGAATCTGATGGACCTCCTGCAGCAGCAGCAGCAGCAGCAGCAGCAGCAGCAGGTTGCTCATTTGGAGGATACTGCAGCAACAGATCCTAATCCTGCAGCAGAAGCAGCAGCAGCAGCAACAGATACATTTGCTGCTGCGGCCTTCCTAAGGGAGCGATTTAGCATGAGCTACCAGCAAAGCAAACAGCTGCTGCAGCTGCTGCTGCAGCTGCAGCAGCAGCAGCAAGAAGAAATCCGGCCTGTGCAGCAAATCTCCCAAGACAAAGAATTCAAGAAGGTTGCTGACAGGGTATGCTGCATCTGCATCTGCTGCTGCTGCTGCTGCTGCCTCTGTTGCTGCTATTATCACTGCTCCTGTTGCTGGTCCAGTCACTGCTGCTGTTGCTGCTGTTCTTGTTGCTGCTATTGCTGTTGCTGCTGCTTCTTTTCCTGCTCTTGCTCCTATAATGCTGTTGTTGCTGTTGCTGTTGCTGCTGCTGCTGCTGCTGTTTGTGCGTAGCCCGCCCAAGTATCATCCTCTTCAAGTTTTATTTTTGCATTTAGCATTCATTATTTTAGGGTTTAGGGTTTAGGGTTTAGGGTTTAGGGTTTAGGGTTTAGGGTTTGTGTTTCAGGTGTATTCATATGTACACTTTGACCGAGCTCTTTTTGACTTAGTTGTCGATACACCTCCTTTTCAGCGTCTTCGGCATTTATGTCAACTCGGCGCATGCAAGTTTGTCTTCCCGTCCGCAACTCATACTCGTTTTGAGCATTCTTTAGGTAAACAATTTGTTTGTTTTTTACTTAATAAATATATATATATATATATATATAAATATATATATATATATATATAATTCTTGTCTGTTTTATTGTTCATTCATTCGCATGGCCTTTATAATTTGTACAAGAGTCATAGTATAATTTATAATTTATTAGACAGTAATAATGCATGTCTGCTTTATTATTTATTATTTTATGTTATAATATTATTTTATTAAAATATTATACTGTCTGTCTCCTTTCGTAATAAACTGTCTCCTTTATCTTTTCTCTGTCTGTCTCTGTCTGTCTCTGTCTGTCTCTGATTGCATATAACGATTGCTTCTTCTTATCTCTCTCGTTCTTTCTCTTTTATATATTATTATATATATTTATATTTATTATGTATTTATTAATTATATATTTATTAATTATATATTTATTAATTATATATATATTTATTATTTTTGTGTATTTGTTTGTAATTATGCAGGAGTAGGATTTCTTGCGGGTCGGTATTTCTCAACTTTAGCTAAAAAGCAGTTATCTGTCTCTTCTTCTTGTTCTTATAATCAGCCTGATGAGGACTTTGCATATGGTGCTGCATGTTCAAGTCTCAGCAGCAGCAGCAGCATCAGCAGCAGGAGCTTCTGTTGCTGCAGCAGCAGCTGCAGCAGCTGGAACTGGAGCAGCTGCAGCAGCAGCAGCAGCAGGAGCAGCAGGAGCTGCATGCATAGAAAGTTTATCAGCATCAGCAAAACCTGCAACAACCCCACCACTACAACCACCACCAGCACCAGCAGCAGCAGCAGCAGCAGCAGCAGCAGCAGCAGCAAGAGGAGTAAGAGGAGTAGGAGTATGATAGATACATATTCTGAGTCGGATTATTTCTTTTCGTCAACTTCTTCATATCTTTCTTCATGCAGAGAGCTCAGAAGATTGCAGCAATGTGTACAGTTAGCAGGGCTTTGTCATGACTTAGGTCACGGACCCTTCAGTCATTTGTTTGAAGCAGATTTTGTAAATGTGCTTCGAATGAAACACCCTGCAGCAGCAGCAGCAGCAGCTGCAGCAGCAGCAGCAGCAGGAGGTGGAAGCGGAGGAGAAGGGGCAGCAGCAGCTGCTGCAGCAGCAGCAGCAGCAGGAGTAGCACCTGCAATGCATGCACGAGGGCTGTGGCATCATGAAGATATGAGCGAACAACTTGTTCAATATATCTTTTCTGATTATTCTGATTGCGGAGGTAATAAAGAAATAGAAGAAGAAGATATAAACTTAATCGCAAATATCATCAAAGGTGCTCCGCCTAATTGGCTGGGGGCCCCTTCACTTCATCCTATCGATCAGCTCAGTCGTGCTGCACTCGATATTGTCGGTAGGCATCATTAAACCCTAAACCCTAAACCCTAAACCGTACACCCTAAACCTTAAAGTTCTAGGTGAACGAAGGAGATGCAGACGGTTTCGTCGGGATGCGTCATAAAACCCTAAACCCTAAACCCTAAACCCTAAACCCTAGATGAACAACAAAACAAACAGACGCTCGATGCTGTAGGTATGCATCATAAAACCCTAAACCCTAGATTAACAAAGGAGATGCACTAGATATCGTCGGTATGAGTAATGTCATTATAAGCCCTAAACCCTAAACCCTAAACCCTAAACCCTCGATGAAGGAAAGAGCTGCACTTGCTATTAATTAATTAATATAAATAAGTAAAGTAATTAATTAATTAATTAATTAAAGTAAATATGATAATTAATTAATTAATAAGCTAGTCAATGAAAATAAACGAGCAAATTAATATAAATTATTAAATAAATAAACAATGATATATATATATATATATATTTATTTATTTTTGTTTTGATTTGTTTGCAGCAAACAGAAGAACAGGATTAGACGTAGACCGATTAGATTATTTAGTTCGGGACTCTGTTTGTTTACCGTCTTTAACTCATTTGATTGTTTTCTCTCCTTCTCGTATATTTGCATCCTCTCGTATTATAGAGGGTAATATATGTTTTGATATTAATGAGCTTCATTCTGTCTTTGGGGTCTTCTATGCACGATATTCTCTCTTCAATTGCATCTACCTACACAAAAAAGTAAAACCCTAAACCCTAAACCCTCAACCCTGAAAAACGTCGTCAGATTAGGAGTCATATTCATGCAGATACAAGCAGCAGCAGCAGCAGCAGCAGTTCGTTTGCTGCTGCTGCAATAACAGCTCTAAACACATACTTCTACACCCTACTATGCTTTAGGGTTTAGGGTTTAGGGTTTAGGGTTTAGGGTTTGGGTGTTGCAGGTTCGAGCTGTTGAGTTGATGATAGCGGAAGCGCTCAGAGAAGCAGATCCTGTCTTTCGATGGAGTGAAGCTGTTGATGACGTAAATAAATAAATAAATAAATAAATAAATAAATAAATAAATAAATAGATTAAATAAATAAATAGATTAAACAAATAAAATAAATAGATAAATAGATAAATAAATAGATTAAATAAATAAATAAATAAATAAAATAAATAAATAAATAAATAAATAAATAAATAATAAATATTTGTCGTGTTCTTCTGTCTCTTTGCTGTCTCTTTATCTGTCTCTGTTTTTTAGTCTGTCTGTCTCTTTCTTTAATTCTTTCGATATGTTTATGTGTATATTGAGATAAAGTATTTATTCATTTATTTATTTGTTTATTTATTTATGTTTATTTATTTATTTGTTTATATTTGTTTATTTATTTGTTTATTTATTTGTTTTTAGGTTGTTAACAGATGAAAGTTTATTATTGACTGTGTTTATGTGTATATTGAGATAAAGTATTTACTGATTTAAATATATTTATTTATATTTATATATTTATATTTATTTATATTTATATATATTTATATTTATTTATTTATTTATTTATTTGTTTATAGGTAGAAGAGTTTTTGATGTTAACAGATGAAAGTTTATTATTAGATGTGCTGCGTCATCCAGTATGCCGAGGAGGCGGCAAAGAAGAGTTTTCTAGTCTTTCTTCGTCGGAGATACCGCGTTTAAAGAAAGCAAATAGGTTATTAAGAAGTGTTTGTAGAGACAGACAAACTAATTCTCTTTATAAGCATGTTGCTTCTGCTAATTTAACTCATAACAAAGACCTCCGTCTTATTCAAGCTGTATGTACACCTGAGATTCTTTCTCGTCTTTCTAGAGGTGCTCTTCAACCTGACCAAGTTATTCTTGACTGTACGTACACAATAAACTCCTATCTACCTAGCTAGCTAGCTAGCTAGCTAGGTATCTATATCTATCTATCGATCTATCTGGCTAGCTAGCTAGCGATGTATGTTGCTACATCGCTAGACAGCTAGCTAGGCAACGATGGATGTTGCTAGCTATCTATCTAGGAAGCATTGCATGTTGTTAGCTAATTATCTAGCTAACAGCTAGCTAGCTAGCTAGGTAACAATGTATATAGCTAGCTAGGTAGCTATATATATTGTTATTTAGCTAGCTAGCTAGCTAGCGAACGATATATGTTGTTCTTACTTGATGTTGATACACCGCGAGTATATTTCTTTCTTTCTCTATTATCATCTTCTGCTGTTTCTGCTGCTGCTGCGTGTGTTCTGCTGCTCTTGCTGCTGTTCTTGCTGCTGCTGCTGCTGCTGCTGCTGCTGCTGCTGCTGCTGCTGCTGCTATCAGGGCAGCATTTGCATTATGGGATGGGTGCTTCTTCTCCTTTTTCGTCAGTGCGTTTTTATTCTTCTGCTGATGCGACGACGTCCTTCTTAGCGCCTTTAGACAAACTCGAAGCATATCCAACCTACTATGATACACACCAACTCAGGTGAGCTCCTGCTGCACTTGCTGCTGCTCCTGCTGCACTTGTTGCTGCTTCTGCTGCTGCTGTTGCTGCTGCTGGTGCTGCTGCTGTTGCTGCTGTTGCTGCTGCTCTTGCTGCTGTTGGTGCTGTTGCTGCTGCAGTTGGTGCTGCTGCTGTTGTTGCACTTGCTGCTGCTGTTGCTGCTGCTGTTGCTGCTGCTGTTGCTGCTGTTGGTGCTGACGATGATGTTGCTGCTGTTGCTGCTGCTGCTGCTGCTGCTGCTGCAGGTTATATTGCAAGGATGATTCGAAGGTGCAGGCAGCAGGCGATGCGTTTAGAGAGTGGTGCCGGCTCTACGATCTCTCAGAAGAAGTCCGCTACTCTTTTGTTTGTTTTGTTTGTTTTGTTTTATTTATTTATTTGTTATTATTTGTTTGTTTTATTTTGTTTGTTTTATTTGTCTTTATCTGTTTTCGTTTGTTTTGTTTGTTTGTTTGTGTTCGCCGTTTGTTTTGTTTGTTCTGTCTGTCTGTTTTGTTTGTTTTGTTTGTTCTGTCTGTTCGCTTTGTTTGTTTTGTTTTGTTTATTTGTTTGTTTTTATTTGTTTGTTTTATTTTGCTTCTTTAACTTGTTTGTTTGTTTTGTTTGTTTTATTTGTCTTTGTTTGTCTTTTGTTTGTTTTGTTTATTTTTTGTTTATTTCAATGTATTCTTCTTGATATTCTCTTTAAATAATAAATACTATTTGTTTATTTTCTGTATTTGTTTAATCTCTTTATCTTTATTGTTATATAATAACAATAAAATATTTTTTTTTGTATTTGTTTGCTCAGCCGTCTTGCGCGTCTCCAGCAGCATCAATAAAACGAAGCTCTGCTGCTTTACAAAGAAGATATTTGTCTCCTTCCGTCTCCTTTCCTAAACAGCAGCAGCAGCAGCAGCAGCAGCAGCAGCAGCTCCTTGATTCTCGCTGCTGCTGGTTCTCATCAGCAGACACTGCAGCAGCAGCAGCAGCAGCAGAACCATTGTACAGGCTTAAAGCTGCTGTAGATGCTGCTCCCGTTACTGCTGCGTCTCCTGCAGCAACCGCTGCAGCAGCAGCAGCAGCAACAGCAGCAGCAGCAGCAGCAGCAGCAGCAGCAGGAGACAAACGCGTATCAACACCACAAGCCAGCAGCAAACGAAGGAGACACCCTCAATAAAATAAAACAAAAGCAAATAAAATAAAATAAAATAATATTTTTAAAAACATATTTATTTAATATGCAAATATATTTAATTATTTATATCACCTGGATTAATGAAAGAAGAGAAATCATGCTGCTGCTGCTGCTGCTGCTGCTGCTGCTGCTGCTGCTGCTGCTGCAGCAACTGCAGCAGCTGCAGCGGCACGCAGCCAGAAAAGAGAAGAAAGATAAAAATAAAAAAATAAAATAAAATAGAAAAGACAGAAGAGACAGAGCAGACAAAAAAGAGACGAAAAGATAAAAAAGAGAGAGAGATAAACACAAAAACAAAAGATAAAAACAAACAACAAACGAACAAACAATAGGATATATATATATATATCAATATAAAAAATAAATATATATATATCAATATAAAAAAGCAAAGAAATATATACACTTATATATATAAATATACAAAAAACAAACGTACATAAATATATGCATTTGTACATATATATATATATCAATATAGAAAAAACAAATAAATATATACACTTATGTATATATGTATATACATATATATATATGAATATTATATATATATATATGAATATAATATATATATATATATGAATATAATATATATATATACATATATATATATAATTAATATATATAAAGATATAACTCGCATTGGATGTGTTGTTGTATATCGACAATCAAAATAAACAGAGTACAATCTTACAAGTGCAGCCTAACTAATATATATATATATATATATTTATTTTTTATTTATTTATATATATATATATATATATACATACTTT